ACCGGCGGTGGTATTGTTCAGGCCGATATCCTCCGGGGCAAATGCTGCAGCCGACGAGGCGAGCGCGAGAATGGCAATGGTCTTCATGAAGCAAATTCAACAATGAGTGCAGGGTTAGTAGGGGACTCGTGTGTGTGCGTAGAGCAGTGTGGGGTTCTTTTTCATTTACATCTACTAACGTTAGGACTAGTATATGTACTTCGTACGATGCGTCATCAGAATTGTCTATTTGTTACTGTAACGTTAGTACGTTTGCTGAAAAGTATCGTTAAACTGCAGCTGACTATGGTGTCCAAAGTACAAGGTACGGAAGCAATGATGGAAATCACACCATACTCAGAAATGGTGGGACGAGCAATCACACTGGATTCAGCAACTTGGTCATCGAGTATTGTACATTTGATTGGTTCATATCCAGGAACATGTTACCAATGAGCTTCTAGGAAGCGACCACGAACGAAATTACCCTTCAGGAAGCATCATGTCGTTTCTGGTACACTTGCCTGGTTGGACGATGATTAAAAGGAAAATTATACACATATACTTCGAAGTATACTGTAGGGAGATTTCGGAGCTGACTTATTGCATCGAAGTCCCATAAGGACCTACCAGTACGCAATTGAGCCCAAGCGTTGCCCTTTCAGGTGAACATTGGAAGGGCCTGGTTGGGGAGCTTCGCGCTGAAACTATTAGTTGGAATACAGTAGTACTGTACTTTGTGATGTGCTGACTGTGAAATCTCTTGGAATTGCCCTAACACCATAGCTTGACAGTAAGTCAATCAAGCGATGATGAGACATAACAGTACATAGTTTACTGGAGTATATTCGTTCGACCAATACAACGCGACATTTCTTTCGTTCGGTCAGTACAAGAATAACTAGTACTATAAATTTACTGTTTCTATTCTCAGAAATACTGTAAAACTATAAATTTACTGTTCTATTCTCAGAAATACTGTTTCAATGAGCAATAATTGCCCTATTCGATACATTCGGATAAGTGGTAATTATCCGGAAACAATCCGAGCTGATTGATTTTTTACAACTTGCTAACAGTAAATCGATCTAATATTGTGCCAGTGGTTTTAGCAGCTTTAACGATTTGAATTTTTATATAAAGCAAGGTTGCACTTGCTTTAAAACGAAGCATATTGATTGTTCTGTCATTATCGGGTGAAATATAGCTACGTTATTGCAATAATGAATGGTGCAGTGCACAAAGACATGGAAGGGTGGCCACCGCTGCACTCGGCGGCATCGGACACTGAAGTACAACGACGCTGCAGAGGAGAGTGTGGTGCTGCAACGTTAAAGGACGTCCTCTAGAGGACCCCTCCGTCCACCATCATCGCTCACTCCACCGCCTTCCACCCGATAAGTACAGCGGTGGCGGGCGGTGTAGTGAGCGAAGATGGTGCACGGAGAAATGCTGTGGCGTGGACCTATGGTGAAGGAATGCAGCGACGATGAAGGTGTGACGGTCATAGGGATTAGACGCACAAAACTTTCGAAGGTCTGGAGGTTCCGACTTCAGGACCGGATTCTCTCGTTTTACCAAGAGGAAGACAGCAAGCAAGGAGTAGATCCAATGTAGGCAAATGTAATAGTGAACTATATCTAATCTAAAAGCTAGCTAAGGTCAAGTGACCTCTAAGGAAGATCGAGCGACCTCTGGAGAAGGACAGTCGAATACGAAGATAATAGACCCTTCGAACAAATATACCTTTGTGATGGCAGTATAACGAGGTGATAGAGCAGCACATTTTGTAATAACATACACTAAATGACCTCAAAATCCCTCGTCATTCCTAGGCCAACATTAACCATACTCCATCGATTATGACGCATTTCATTCCAACTCTATGCCAGCGATGAAGCGTGGAACACAACGACGACACAATATATCCTGTTCGTATATTTTCGACGCTTCAGCATTCTGCCTCAACAGACAAATCACCGATAGTCACCGATCGTCGGATACCAACGACTCCCCACGTCACCTTTCACCACGTCCAACTTGCTTTGGTTGTTCAATCTTTGGGAAAGGCAATCCCAACGCCGTTGCCCCCGGGAAAGGCAATCCCAACGCCGTTGCCGCCGGCAGAGGCAGTTCCAACGCCGTTGCCCCCGGGAGAGGCAATCCCTACGCCGTTGCCGCCGGCAGAGGCAGTCCCAACGCTGTTGCCCCCGGGAAAGGCAATCCCAACGTCGTTGCCGCCGGCAGAGGCAGTTCCAACGCCGTTGCCCCCGGGAAAGGCAATGCCAACGCCGTTGCCGCCGGCAGAGGCAGTCCCAACGCTGTTGCCCCCGGGAAAGGCAGTCCCAACGCTGTTACCCCCGGCAGAGGCAGTCCCAACGCCATTGCCCCCAGGAGTGGGAATCCCAACGCCGTTGCCCTCGAAAGTCAAAACTTCGTCAGCAAATTGAGTCAACGCTTTGAAGATTTCCGTGCCACGGGTACGGATGGTCGACACGGGGGCGACAAAATCAGAACCAGCCACTTCGATGGTCAACACGGGCTTCTTGTACGTGCGATAGAGGTAGTCGTCCAATGCCCCGTACCCAGGTGCGTAGGAACCCGCTGTCTGCCATCTGTATCCGCCACCGGTTGCGGCGGCAACGTTGCGGCCGAGCAGTGCAAACTTGGCGTCATCTCCGTTGCCGATGGGTTCCGTCGTGTCGCCATAAGGGTAGAAGATCGCCCCCAAGACGGAATGCACATCCACCCAGCCGGCGAGTTCAGAGTTCTTGGTATGGAGCCACCGCGCAATCCCCTTAGTTTCCGGCTCGCTCCCCGGACGCGGGCCAGGGTAAGTTTGGGCCGAGGGGGCGGGGGGGTTGGGGTTCTCGTAGAACGACGGCCAATTACGGTTCAAGTCGACTTCGTTGGCATTCTTGCGCTGGTACCGGTTGCCGTTCCACGAGATGTCGTACCCGTCAATGTTGACGATGGGCACAAAGTACAAGTTGAACTTGTCGGCCGCCGTGGGTTTCTTGTTGGCAATGTCGTCCAGAATCGAAGACAACGTAAACAAGTTGGACGACCCCGCGATCCATTCCCGGGCGTGAGCCAGGCTTTGGTAGTACAACGACCTGGGCTTGGACGCGCCGCTGGTCAGTTTGTATGCGTAGATAGACTTGCCTCGGACGGTGCTCGAAATCTTTTCTTTTTTCAACAAAGTCGGGTTATGCGCCACCAACGCATCCACGTACTCGAAGATTTGCTCCGACGTGCGGAAACAATTGTAGAATTTGCTGGCCGAGTACTCGCCAGCTTTCAAAGTCTGGAGGTACCCGCCGTTGGTCGTGTGGCACTTGCGGTTGACGTCCGCGTCGTCTTGGATCGCTTGGACTTGGGCTTTGGTGCGGAGTTTTCTGTCGGGGCCTCGCAACAAACCGGCGGTGGTATTGTTCAGGCCGATATCCTCCGGGGCAAATGCTGCAGCCGACGAGGCGAGCGCGAGAATGGCAATGGTCTTCATGAAGCAAATTCAACAATGAGTGCAGGGTTAGTAGGGGACTCGTGTGTGTGCGTAGAGCAGTGTGGGGTTCTTTTTCATTTACATCTACTAACGTTAGGACTAGTATATGTACTTCGTACGATGCGTCATCAGAATTGTCTATTTGTTACTGTAACGTTAGTACGTTTGCTGAAAAGTATCGTTAAACTGCAGCTGACTATGGTGTCCAAAGTACAAGGTACGGAAGCAATGATGGAAATCACACCATACTCAGAAATGGTGGGACGAGCAATCACACTGGATTCAGCAACTTGGTCATCGAGTATTGTACATTTGATTGGTTCATATCCAGGAACATGTTACCAATGAGCTTCTAGGAAGCGACCACGAACGAAATTACCCTTCAGGAAGCATCATGTCGTTTCTGGTACACTTGCCTGGTTGGACGATGATTAAAAGGAAAATTTTACACATATACTTCGAAGTATACTGTAGGGAGATTTCGGAGATGACTTATTGCATCAAAGTCCCATAAGGACCTACCAGTACGCAATTGAGCCCAAGCGTTGACCTTTCCGGTGAAAATTGGAAGGGCCTGGTTAACTAAGTTAGGGAGCTTCGCGCTGAAGATATTAGTTGGAATACAGTAGTACTGTACTTTGTGATATACTGACTGTGAAATCTAAGAGCATTTCCACCGCATCCCCAATCCCAAACTACGTTGTATGTCCCAACTCCATATTGGGACATCAGATGGGACAAAATCTTCCCCACCGGATGTCCCGAAAACCAAATTTGGGGTTGGGACATCCACTTTGTCCCGTAATAAAATTGCACACTATTGGGATATCCCAACTAATTGTCCCAATAAATATACTACGATTTGTATGGAAAAAGCAAGTCCATTCGTGCAGTTTCCCAATGTCGGCTTTGAACACAGCGACTGGCGGTCGGTATCATGAACCACGAGTCGCCGTCGTCGGGCACGCGGACGATGTGGCTGACAGTGAACGAGAGTCACCAGCATTCATTGATACAGCGATATCTGGCCGATATCGCTGCGGCAGTGATTGCCGATGACTCTCGTTCCGACGCTGCGGCGGACGCGGGTTTGTCCAAGAGGCGCAACCGCATAACGCTATGCGGTCGCGGATATCGGACAAGAGTCCGCAGCAACAATTACACTCTATAACTTGGTGCGTGGGATTACAGAATCGCTGCGGTCAAGTAGGCTTGCAAGTACCGACATCACCGACCTTGGGAAACTCAATAACGTTAGCAAGGCGATGGTCACCATCGACATGCCATCCAGTCGTAATCTCTGAAAAGTTAACTACAACTAGAGAGAGGCAAACACCGTTCATAACTCCGTTCCAGAGTGAACTTGGCATCCTCTCGATGTCATACCATGCACTTCCGGCTTCAGGTCAATTGGGAAAGGGACACTTACCAAAACGGAAGATTTTTTGCAGACATCCCAAAAATAGTGAACTGGCTCTAATTTAGGGATGGGGACAATTATAATTGGGGATGCGGTGGAGATGGGCAAGACAGGAAAAACGTTAAGGAAAGCTGAATAACATGCAAATTAAGCTGAAAAACGTTAAGGATTTCTACCACTGTTAAATGGGTGAGTACCACTGTTAGTACCACTATTAAACAGGCGGAATGATTACGTTACCTTGTTCATGGAGTTTGGATTATCATTTTAAAGACATTCCTCCGCGAGGGCCGACACTAGAACCACATGTTATGGAACCGCTTCGCCAATTGTAACGCGCCTGCTCGACCAGGGGCGGGTGTAATCTTCGGTTTTTACTTCGCTCAACGCTTCATACCTCGTGCTTCGACCGATCTTCTTCGAAGTTCGGTCCTCGTCTTCGTACGCAGCCCTTGTTATCCGGATTCCCCAGGGGAGGGACGGATAAATCCTTGCGGAAATAATCCGGGGATCTAACCCACGACCTTTGAGTTAAGAAACCGATGCTCTACCACCTGAGCTATTCCCCCCTGAGCTCTACCACCTGAGCTATTCCTCCCCCCCCC